GAGACCCCGTCTCTACTAAAAAAATATAGAAATTAGCTGGACAACTAAAAATATATATAGAAAAAATTGGCCAGGCATGGTGGCACATGCCTATAGTCCCAGCTACTCGGGAGGCTGAGGCAGGAACAGCCTGAGCAAGAGTGAGACCCTGTCTCTACTAAAAAAAAAAAAAAATATAGAAATTAGCTGGACAACTAAAAAAATACATACAAAAAATTAACTGGGCATGGTGGCGTGTGCCTGTAGTCCCAACTACTTGGGTGGCTGAGGCAGTAGGATCACTTGAGCCCAGGAATTTGAGGTTGCTGTAAGCTAGGCTGACGCCATGGCACTCTAGCCCGGGCAACAGAGTGAGACTCTGTCTCAAAAAAAAAAAAAAAAAGATTTGTTGGGTTGGACCAGATCAGCATTTAGTCCAGGAGTGATCCCTAGTAAGATGACAAGACCCTTTTGAGTACTGTGCCCAGTGTTCTATGAATGATGAGGTTTGCCGGTTGGCTGAAGGGAGTGGGCACTGTGTCTGGTCCTGTGAACACCAGGTACTGTTCCCTGCACTCCTTTCTGGTGGCACTTTCTCTGGACTCAGGTATTTTCCTGATCAGCATGCTACTGGATGCTAGAGGGGACCCTCTGTAAATGACCAGAGTCCTCATCGTGTGAGGGGAGAACTTGCTGAACTCGGTAAGTGAGGGCAATTGTAGGGCTCCCTCTTTTTTTCCCTTCCTGAGGATCACTTTCCTTTGTTGCCTGAAGTCACCGTCTTGAAAACCATTGTTTTCTGTATTTGTATGGTTTAAAAACAAATTATTTCCGTTGAGAGGTCACTGTTACTTCATGTAGGCCGGCAGTGGAAGTCTGAGCGTTGTTAGTGGTTTCCAGGCTATCGACATCCTCTACCCCTGGGGGCTGAGAGTCGGGTGGTTTTAAAGCTGCTCGTGGCTGTGCGCGCTGCTCGTGATTCACTGCCCGTACGGCGTGCTCTCGTGACTTTGAGTCCTCACTCATGTTGTCGGCCTGGAATGCATTTCCCTTTTGTACTGCATTTGTTTTCTTTTAAGACATATTGTTTCTTTTTTTTAATTAAAAAAAATACCTAGTCAAGAGCAGCCAAGGCAATTTTGAAGAAGAAGGGAGGCTTTGCCTTTCTTAATTTGGAGACTTAACATAAAGTTAGAGTATCCAGAACAGTACGGCATTGATGCAGAGACAGGTAAATAGATAATGGGACAAAATATAAAGTGTGATGTATGATGCCTTACAGATCGGGAATGTGTTCATTTCCTAATGCTGCTGTAACAAATCACCACAAACTTAGTGACTTAAAGCAATAGAAACTTTTTGTCTTACAATTCTGGAGATCAGAAGTCTAATGTGGGTCTCACAGGCTTAAATCAAGGTCTCAGCAGGGCTCTGTTCCTTCTAGGGGCTTTAGGGGAGAATCCGACTCCTTGCCTTTTAGCTGCTAGAGGCTGCCCATGTCCCTTGGCCCTGTACTCGACCTTCACAGGCAGTGGCGAGGCATCTTCACGTCTTTCCCTGATGCTGACCGTCTCGTCTCCCTTTTACTTACCAGGACTGTGGTGAGCATGTCAGACTCACTCAGATAGTTTCGGATAATCTCCCATCGCGAGGTCAGCTGATCAGCAACCTAATTCCCTTGGCAATGTAACATATTTGTAGGTTCTGGGGATCAGGGTGTGATATCTTGGGTTGGGGAGCAGTTATCATGCCTAGCACAGGGAGTGAGGATGGAGCGAGCTGTCGGTAGATGGTGCTGGCACGATGGCTTATCCATGTGGAAAACACAGATTTTAACCC